GCGTTGTGGCGGGCGTCTGTAGTCCCGGTTACTTGGGAGGCTCAGGCCGAAGGGCCGTTTGAGCCCAGGAGTTTGAGGTTGTTGCTATGACGCCATGGCACTCTACCAAGGGTGACAAATTAAGACTCTGTCTCAAATAAATAAAAATCACTAATAATCTCAGGGTCGAAAAAACAACTGCAGGCAGGGTAGTCTGACCCTATTTACCGACCCAAGAAGACAGTTGGTTTACCGGACAGTGGCCAGATCCTGTCCTCTGTCTGGGAGTAGGGGTAGCCCAAAAGAAGAGGTCGGGGGGGATTGTTCTTTCTTCCTCTTACTCAGTTTATTGAAACAAGTGTCAGATGGAAAACAATGGCGGCACTGGGATTATATTTTATAATTGACAGAGACCATAACAACAGCAATCTTCAAGCAAACCCAGGCTACTCAGAGAACCCTAAAGTTTCTAAGGCACAGAACTTTCGTCGATTGTCACATTTTTGGTTCTTAGCTAATGGAAAAGACTCAATTGAGGGGGAAAATTATACACATTTTAAACCCCCACATAGTTTAAAAGCTAATTGAAAATATTATCAAATATAATTTTGAGTGCTTTTACCCATGTGAAGGGCAAATTTTCCGTGTGAATGCATGCAATGGCAGCATGGTACCAAGTCTTCCTATCATATGGGCCTTCTGGAGCTATTTAAGATGTAGGTGGCACCCTACAAACAAAAATAAAATTGTACCGTTCTTTTCTGTGTAGTCAATCTAAGGCCTGAGGGTACTGATTTGTTTACACAATACATACTGAGGGCTCTGTGGAGGCTTCAGAATGACTTTATAGAACTCAGGTTCTAGTGAAGGATATAGACCTGCAGTCCCCAAATTTCCTGCCTATGGACCTGTCCTTGGCCTGTTAGGAACCAGGCTGCACAGCAGAAAGTGGGCAGCAGACCAGCCAGCCAAGTTTCTGTATTGACAGTGTTCCTCATCACTGCCTGAACTCTGCTTGTCACATGACTGGAGCATTAGAT